TCAGGTATCTTTTGAATGTTTCCCAAGAGAGCTGCTGCCCTGGGAGCTATTCATGGTCCATGGGACACAGGCTGTGAACAGGACAAATCTTCTTTACTCTAGAAGAGGCAGGTGAGATCACAGAACCTGCAACTTTGATGACCCTTGGACGTCCCCATCACAAGGACAGTTCTCTTCAAAGTAAGCTGTACATATCTGAGCACTTCTATCCAATAACCAGAGGAACAAAGGCAGCTCTTCTTTGGTGCCTGGGTGTATTAGACAGAACAACCCCAAAGATGCCCACATCTTAGCTGTTGTCTGTGACTATGTCACATTACAGAGCAAAGGAAAATATCCAACTATCTTGAGTGTTCTCAGGATAATCTTGGGAGTCCTAGAAGTGAAGAGAAGCCTAGAAGTGAAGAGAAGTGAAAAAGGAGGCCAGAGTGAGGTCCTGGGAGAAGGGTTCGATCTACTGGTGCTGGCCTTGAAGATGGAAGACAGGGAGGGCCATGGGTGAGGCTGAAAAGGACAGGGAAATGCATTCACTTCTAGCAGCTCCTGGATGAAGCCTAGTGCTTGAGACTAGCTTAGTCTAGTTGGATTAGTGAGACATGTGGAAGCTACTAATGTTCAGAACTATACTGATAAATGGATTTGCTGTTAAGTCATTACCTTAGTGATACTACCCCGGATCCTCGGGGATCTGCTCATTGGGGTGTCTGTAATAGGCAGACCTGAACAGACCCAGGAAGAGGGCTCTGCTGCTCCATACACAATGGTGACACTGTTAGTGATTGTGAGTACAGTACAAGACGAAAGAAATGAACAGGCCATAGTAGCTCCTGCCTGTGTCCCAGCACTTGGGGCAGAGGCAGAAAGAAATTGAGCTCAAGGCCAGTCTGTGCTTTATAAACATGTTCAAAGCCAGCTCCATAGCTAGCTTTGTCTTAAATGACCCAAGATTGGAACAGTAGGTCAGTCATAGAGCGCTTACTTAACACGAGGAAGGGCCTGGGCTCGACATCCAGCACTGCCAAAGTTTGTATAGTCTCTGTCTTTATGTTATCCCACAATGCAAAGGGATCCCTCATCTGGGGGATTCCGTGAAGAACCATCACATAAAGATCTACTGAACTCAGAAGCCCCCAAGTTTCCCTTCATCCTATCCAGACTTAATGTTCCTGTCTATTAAATAAATCATAGTGATATTGACTGTAGATTTCTGACAGATAAGGATAGTAATGCATAATGAATATCCATTCCCTCTTTATCCTTTCAGGAAAAGCCAGCAGATTTAACATTGACTTTCTCCAGACCAGCACGATTAATTATTTTAAAGTCAGAGGCCCTGCTCAGATCCTGATAGAATCAAACTACCGACAGACACAGGACCATATACACAATTTTCGGGCCCTTGTAAAGCAGCCTAGGCAGAACCCAGCCCAGAAGTCCTGCTCAACCAGGGGCAACTGCTGAGTGTTACTGGAAGGCTTTATAAAGCCCCCCATGACCTTAAACATGGCTCGTCCCACTGGCTCACTCTATATAGAACTCCAGAATTATTTTCAATGACATTTTCTTTCCAACTGAGCTTCTGAGACTGAAGGGTTCACGAACAGGACCGGGGATGGGAATAAGACTATCACGAATGAAGGCAAAAGGAACCATCATCAATCACCTGGGGGGCCCAGCTTTCTTGTGTGTGTGTGTGTACAAGTGTGTGCATGCACAGATTATTCATGTGAGGTGTGGGTGGCGAGGGGGAGGTGTGGGCACGAGGGGCATGGGCATGAGGGAGTTGTGGGTGTGTGAGGTGTGGGATGTGCGATGTGCCTGTGTTTTTCCCTCAAGGACAGGGGAGGCAGAGAGGTATCATCCCCCCTGCAATCACTACGTGCCCCAAGGGAGGGAAGCTGGGCCTCCATCCCCACAATGGGCTGTGGGGAGCGTGGTCCCCATGTTCTTCCTGTCACCAACACGGCAGGGATAGGAAAGTCAGCAATGCTCTGTAGAGAATTTCTGTCCCGCCAGTCCCGATCACATGTGTGCTGTTTCCCTCCACCCATTGGGTCCCCCAACCATGTAGAAAATAACCAGAGACTTAATATAGATTTATAATTGTTTGGCCAATGGCTTAGGCTTATTACTGGCTAGCTCTTAGAAGTTAACCCATTTCCACTAATCTGTGTGTCACCATGAGGCTTTAGCTTACCAGTGATGCCCTTGCATCTGGCCTCTCAGGCAGCTACACGGCATCTCTCTGACTCCTAGATAAATACTGCCTGTCCATTGGCTGAAACAGCTTTATTTGTCAATCAATAAAAGCAACACTTATTTATAGCGTACAGAAGGACGTCCCATCACAGCCTCCTCACCAGACACCTTTGCAAAGTCCCTCCATCAGCCAGTCTAGGACACCACCAGCCTTTACTGGCAGCTGCCCACCCTCCCAAGCATGAGCTGCTTCCTGGCTTTAGACAGTAGTACCCCTCAGTCTCACCACGTATGCATCAAATCTGTGATGGAACCAGGGCCTGGTGGGTAGTGAGTGATAAAAAACAAAAACAAACAAAAAAACAAAAACAAAACCGAAGCAATTAAGACAGGGTTTCACTGTGTAGCTCAGAACAGCCCTGAACGAGGCTGGCTGTGCTTCAGCGACACCTACCGAGGAATGGGGGAAAAACAAAAGCACGTGCTGGAAGATTCCAGGGCAGCAGGGTAGGGTACAGACCAGACTCCTGGAACACTTTAAAGTGACATGGTTGTCACTCTGATGGGCAGCCGCTGAAACAGGAAAGAAAGCCAACGACTGCAGATGAGTGAATAAGCTAGCTCATAGAGGCCTCATGCAGGACTGTGAGGTTCCCAATCTTTCACAACGGCATTTACAAAGACAAGTGGCCAAGGGAAATAAAATCAGAAACAAACTGTCAACACTTGACCGGGGCTTGTGGCAAGCAGAGGCTGGCTGTAACCTCACTTTCCAGAGAAGGCTGTAGCCCCAGCTAAATATGGAGGCAAGGGTTACTCCATGCTGACTGTCATGCCCAGCTTTGGCTGCATCAGTCCATTTCTTTCTGGCTGCAGCCTGCTCCTTGAGGTCCCGATTCCATTCTCATTATGTAGCTGGAGATCCCGAGGGGAGAGAGGGTGAGTTTTTGCCCAGGCTACATTTCCTGGGCAGCTTCCAGTCCCAGACCCTCTGCTTTCAAAACCCATATTCTTTGTTTTTGAAACAGGGCATTGAGATGTAGTTAAAACCAGGCCTACAGTTCACTCTATAGCCCAGCCTGGCCTCAAATTCAAAGTCCTCCTGCCCCTACCCTACCAAATGCTAGAATTACAGGCATGGCCCACCTTACTTGGCTTAAAGCCCACACTCCTAATCCCAAAGACAATATCATTCTAGTGAAGTGTAGGGCAGAGGGGCAGACAGACTGAAAGACAGAATATCAGAATAAACACATGAGGGAAATGACCCCACCACAGCTATGGTTGTCACCTTTTGCCCAGTGTTATCACTGGCTTTTCCAAGCAATTGTAATAGCACAGTTGGTTTAAAACTTTGAATAATTGCAGATCAGAGAGACATGATTTTAAAGTCCCCTCTTCCCTGGTGCCCCTCTCTTGGGAGGTAAAACTAGTAAACAGGCTTCAGTGGCTGTCCTCAGCAAGTGCCGTGACAACTGTCATCTCTGCCAATTCAGTTATTACTATCCTCAGGTTTGTATTTCTTCAGACAATGACACTGAGGCATACAACTGTAAGAGGATGAGTCTAAAGCTGAACTTACTAGCAGTGTGAGGACTCCTGCCCTGGTCCCCACTCTGCAACTTTCTCTTCGTTATAGAATAGCCTGCCATGACTTTGATCAGTTTGTGTGTTTAATAATGTCAACATCAGTCCATGTTTATACAGTGAAAAGCTCACTCCCATCTCTGGTTTTTCTGGGATCCTGCTGGCTTCTATCCTTGCCCTTATTAAAAATGTGAGTTGCAACCACAGCCTGGATCCAGCAGGGCATAAAGTAGAAGCAACCACTGCTTTTAGTGCCTTGAGCACTAAAGGATTTTCTGAAAATGATGACTGGAGGAGGAAGGGGTGGGGGAACAAGTCAAAGGTGAGACCCTAGGAGATTCAAGGAAATAATCCTGTCCTGTTTCTACAGCAGTTATTACTGCCAGTAGTGATTTCATGGCAATTATTAGTCTCACGAACTCCAAGGGAGGTTAGCATCGTCAGTCGGTGGCCTATCATTCAAGCACAAAGACTCTCAGCTTTGAACAGTGATGGCTTGGAGGAAGATGGGATGAAAGAGACAAGTTGGGGGAAAAGGAGAAGAGAGGGCTGTGTTCATCCTTTTGGGGGAATTTAGAAGAGTGTTTATGTCCAAAGACCAGAAGAGAAGCAGCTAAGCTGTGCTCTGTGCCGATCTATTATGCTTCAGGAAGGACTTGCATTCTTTCACTGAAGGAGAGGGGATGCCCATGAGGGTCTAACACTATTAGTGACAGCTAATAGTTACTTAATGCCAACCAAGAGCCAGGTGCTGTGCTAAGAGACTTACATTTATCATCTAACTCAATTGTCATAGCTTTTGTAAGAAAGTATTAATATACTTTTTGAGGGGTTCCAAGACAGGGTTTCTCTGTGTAGCCTTGACTATCCTGGAACTCGCCATGTAGACCAGTCTGGCCTTGAACTCACAGAGATCTACCTGTTTCTGCCTCTTGGAGTGCTGGGACTAAAGGCATAGGCCACCACTGCCCAGCTTAACAGATTGATTTTGATAGGTGAGAAAACAGGCTCAGAGATGGAAATGTATCCATGGCCATGCAGCTAAGAGCTGCCTGTCCACCAAGCCCTGCTTGCCTGAGACAACCATGAGCTCTGCAGGGCTCCTCAGAAACCTTCAAAAGGGAGGAACCAAAGCACCGTCACAATCCGAACCAAACAAAACCAAGCTCCAACAGCACAGCTAACTCAATGTCCAATTACCTGAGATCACTTACCTCCTTCTGGAATCCTCCAAAGGGCTGGGCCGCTTCTCCAGCTCTGCCCTCTGCAGCACACAGCTGTCTTCTAGACTTGGCAGGCTCCACTCCATTGCTGCTGCTGTCCCTGGTGGTCATCCCATGGTCCTGCCATCTCTAAAACACTGGGATCCCTTTTGCAACTGGGCTGAATTTCACCAGTCCCCTCTCGCAGGCTTTCTTCATGGTGACAAGCCTCAACTTCTTTGCATGACTTCCTCAGTCCTGGGCCTTCAACTGCCACTGAGGCTGCACCTTCACCAGTGGCTTCTCCTGGCCCTCACAGGCCTCAGCCGCTGTCCATGACTCCTTCGTGCCTCTAAAACCAGTACCACCTGGGTGACTCTTCCAAGTTCTGATGCCAGCAGAAGGTACAACCCTGGCTGCCTCTGGAACACAGCCTCTCCGTTCTCTCAGGAAACACTTCACAGATTTCACCTCAGTGATGCTGGTCTCTTCATAATCACCAATTTCTCAGCTCCAGCTGAGCAGCATCAACTGTCCCAGCAAAGCAAAGTTTTGCTTTAGTGGTTCTGGTATCTTGTTAACCACAGCTGATTCTTAATCCCCAGCAAACCAGAACCACAGAATCTTAGTTAAAAAAAAAAAAAAAAAAAAAAAAAAAAAAAAACCAACCAAATGGCCCTGTTAGAGTCTTTAAACTTCCCTCTGAAACTTCACAAGCGAGGCCTCCATCCTCTACACTGCTCTAAACATTCTTATCTTCCAACTTCCCACAGAACATCCCACTGAGGTCTCAACACTCGGTGACTCCTCTAGCCCAAAGTTCCAAAAGTCCTTCCACAATCCTCCCAAAAACACAGTCAGGTCTGTCACAGCAACACCCCACTGTGCTGGTACCAACTTAGCTAAGTTTTCCACCGTTGTGACAAAACACCATGACCCAAAAGCAAGTTGGGATGAAAGGGTTTATTTGGCTCACATTTCCACATCATAGTCCATCAGTGAAGAGAGTCAGCACAGGAACTCAGGCAGGGCAGGAACCTGGAGGCAGGAGCTGATGCAGAAGCCATGGAGGATGCTGCTTACTGGCTTGCTCTGCCTGCTTTCTTATGGAACCCACTGTGGGCTGGGCCCTCCCTCATTGATCACTAATTGAGATCTCATGGAGACATTTCCTCAATCGAGGCTCCTTTCTCTGATGACTCTAGCTTGTCAAGATAACACAAAACCAGACAGTACAATACTAAATGACAATGAAAATAGAAATCATTGTGTTTCTGTGGCCATGTTTAGGAAACTCTGACAAAACATTTAGGGAGAAGCCAGAAAAATTCCTGATTTCTTTGTAGTCAACATCCAGGTGCCTGGAGACAGACAAACTCTGAGAACTACCCAAAGATGGAGGGTCCATACTCAGCTCCCTGGGAGGTAGCCCCAGGGCTTTTGCATTGTTACTGTGATTTTCAGCTCAAGATCCAATGTGTTAATGTGTTGCCTGTCTGCCTCTGAAGCAGAGGCTCAAAGTGACACTTCTGTGAGTCTTTTGTTTTGTTTTTCGAGACAGGGTTTCTCTGTGGTTTTGGAGGCTGTCCTGGAACTAGCTCTTGTAGACCAGGCTGGCCTCAAACTCACAGAGATCTGCCTGCCTCTACCTCCCAAAATGCTGGGATTAAAGGCATGCGCCACCACCGCCCGGCAAAGTGACACTTCTATGAGTCATTTTCAGGTGTCGATTTCTCCCCAGGGTGTTTTGTTGTTGTTTTGTTTTGTTTTTTTGTTTTTTGTCCTTGAAATTCATAAGCCCTGGGACCTCCAGGCAGCAAGTACATTCTGCTCTGACACCTTGCTTGCTGATGTTTTGATGACTGGGTATTGAGAATCCAGGACTCCTTAAGGGGGCAAAAAGCCACAAAAAACAAATAACAAAAAACCCACTAAGGACTAGGCACCAGCCACTTAATAACAGATGTAGGTGGGTGCCACCAGCCAGATAAAACAATGCCTAACTTAGAACCTAGGCCAGATCTGAACTGGCAGAGTCCTGGCTACTGGAGCTTCTGCAGGAGCTGATATTGCAGAATGAAGGGGAAATTGTCTGGAAACATTAATGTTGTACCACTTAACAACCAGTGAGACAGTGGAACATGCTACCCTGGAATATGGATGCGTCTGGGGCTCAAACTGGACTTTATGTGAACCACTCTTCCATCCTCTTTGCTGACTATGGCTCCAACCAGACCCTCAAAGCCCTGTGGCTGTCCACTTAGACCCTTTTCTCTTTGGGTGGACCACTCACTTGGCACAAGGCTTCTCTTGAGACTGACGTGAAGGCCTTCTCACTTTCACCATTCAGTTATTTGACCTGTACTGAACAACTGTTTTTTGTGCCAGATCCGATCCAGTGGGTTTGAGGATGAGGAAGGTATGGTCTCCTGTTGGGAGTATTTGATCACCGTGAACCTCGAGTTTGCATTTGCATTAATTAAATAAAATTAACCTTGGGTCAGGAGGCTCTGTTGGCAGCTAGTTGAAAGCAAACATAGATCAGCTGAGGGCATCTAGAAGAGCTAAAGGGATGCACTGGAAGTAGGGAGGATTTTATGTTTCAGTGGAGCAAAGAACGGGCTTTTTGGGAGAGGCCATTGAGGACAGCTAGGTGCTACTCGACCTCTCTGAGCTGAGGTCTTCACCCCAGCCTTTGAATCTCAAGTTTTATTTTAAAAAGAACCACAGGGATTTACTTGAAACTATCTTCAGTGGCAGTGGCAGCAGCAGAGAAGCAGGCTGCGGTACCTTCAGAGTCACAATTGCTGGCTGAAATAGCAGTAGATAAAGGTGCAGCCATTAGGCCAAAGACAAACAACAGTCTTCCATCCCTCGTCTTGGAACCAAGACTGGCCACTTATGTGACCATGACAAGTTCCAACCCCTTATCAGGCTCCCCAGCCCAGGGTGAACCGAAGGCTTTTCATGCTAGGGAATTGCTTTGCCACCAGGTTACAGCTTCAGGTGTCATGTGCATGTGTGTGGGGGGGGGCACATGCATTATTAGATGTCAATCACATATACAGGAGATCTACAGACAGCAATGTAAGCTGTTAGAGCTCATTGCTTACCTTTCTTGATACATACTCTGTTAGGTAGTTCCAGGGTGCAAAGCAAACACCTTGCCCACTTAGCCATCTCCACAGCCCATGTGCCATGATGTCTGGAAGGCTGGAGACACAGCTTAGTGGGCAAAGTGCTTGCTTTATATGCATGAGGACTTGAGTTGACTCCAGAATTCATCTGGGGTCCCTGATGCTCACTGCAGTGAGCTCCAGGTCAGCAAGAACCAATCTCAGGAAAAAACAAAGGCAAAAAAGGTGGGCAGTGCCTGAGGAACTACACCCAAGGTTGCCCTCTGGCCGATATAGGAACCCTTCTACATGTACATTCACTCCTAACACATAAGCATGCACACAAACATTCACACATGTAAAGGAATGCCAAGATATTTTAAAACCATGACAAAAATATTTTAGTAAGAGAACTCAGGCTTTAGAAAGAATGAACAAACTCACTCTTGAGTTGAAAGACATGAGTCACTTGGGTACACGTGCTAAGGAAACAGGCGCTAGTCTTAAGAAAATGACCAAGCTTTGCCCTAGATTCACCACCTGGGTTTTAAGTTAGTCCTACTCACTTTGAATTGGCAAACCTGGGAATTCTGTGACTTGGTGGGGAGTGGGGCAGACACACTCAGATATTCAGTGTCATCCTGTATAACACAAAAAATGAGACAGCAATGTTGGGGAATCTCTGTGAAATTACTAATCTCAAAAATCAGTGATTTTACATGCAACATGAGATGGCACAGCTTTGTGCAGTTCAAGTTCTGAGCATGGCTTTGTTACTATGAGTGTCCGGGTGCTGCGTGGGCTCCAGGCTGTACAGAGAAGTGTAACTGAGTGGGCTACAGGGTCAGCTCTAGGCACGGTTTCTAGGACAGCTGTGCTGTGAGGAGAGCTGCGACACCCAATCACCCACGCAGCTTCCTTTCATCTGTAACTGGGAAAGGCAGCTAGCTCCTTTACAAGCTTGGGTGAGGGGCATTAACAACTTCTGCAAAGGGAGCAGTCTGCTCCAGGGTAGGAAGTGGTCCTCAGACTTGCATCAGAGGGATTCAGGGAGCAGAGGAGGAAGCCAGACTCCAAGACTGCAGGGAGGTTCAGCGCCAGCCCTCCACATTTCTCTTCTACTTGTTCGGCCACAGAGGGTTGGTACAGAGCAGTGGGTGCAGGAGGCCTGGTTCTCTCAAGTGAAGACTTGCATTGCCTTGTGTGAGGAGGCAGGGGTTTTCCTTTCACAGAGCCCCTCATGGCCACATTTCCTAGTTGCTCTGGATAGATCTGCTGCAATTTGACAGCAGAAATGGAACTCTGAAGGCAGCAGCAGTAGGAAGCTCTTCCTCATTTGTAGGACAGATAGAGGGTCTACTAAAGTGCTGAACCCTCAAACCTACCTCTCCTCTCAGCAGTATCTTGCCCTGTGTCCTAAAGAACAATAATTTTGAATTAAAACACACACACACATACATTTGCATATATTCTGAGATAAGGTCTCACTATGTAGTCCAGGTTAGCCTCCAACTTGCTGTGTAGCCCATGCGGGTCTTGAACACATGTCCTCTCCACCTCAGCCTTCCACAAGCACCACCATGGCCAACTTTGTGGTTTTTAAGGCTAGGTCTTACTAGCATCTCAGGCTAGCCTTATACTCATTGGATACCCCAGGATAGCTTCAAACTTGCAACCCTCCTCTCTCAGCTTTGGAGGGTTGGGATAGCATGTGCTACCATGAACTACTGAATGGAACTGGAAATAACATTAACAAGGTAGGCAGGCCTATAGTGTGTGCTCTCTAGCGTGACGACCTTAGCTTTTGATTTTTGTTCAACTGCATTCATGTGGGAGTGAGTATAGAGAGTCTAAAATAGGGAGGGCAGTAGCAGGCTGTAAGGGGGAGGTGAGGAGGGTAAGAGAACACCCGTGCTAAGCAGCAGCAGGGCAATACTGAAGGTGGAGGATGGAGAGGGCAGAGTCTACCAAAACCCTGCCTGGTGCTTTGTGTGCCAGTGTTATAAATCAAAACAC